AGTAGCTCTTCAGATTCTGATAGCAGTGAATAATGCGCCGTTAGATGTCTACAGTTGTTGTGTTGTGGTTATGTTGCCAATTGTTATATATAAGATCATCATCCTGATAATCATCGGTCATAGTTATATTCGCTAATTACTCCTATTCTGAAAAAGAATCAGCCTAATTTTTTGTAGAGAAGCCACACCTAGCCCTTCAGGTGCAGGCTCACTGCGCGACGCGGCATTAACACAAGCAGCGCGATCTAGGAACATCTCCATACTTCACAAGGATCGATCGATCTTTGTAAAACTTGTAAGCGCAATACGGATCGGCCAATCGGGAGTGCGCGGCGTCTGCATTGCGGCGCAATTAAATGTGGCTCTATCGCAACCTTGCCGTCCTTTTTCCCCAACTTTGATTCTTTCTCTCGCTAGGCGGTTAGAAGTAGGTAGCGTTTCCCCAAAGAGGTGTATATCAAACTCCAGACAAAATGCTATTCGACTGTGACGCGCAACCATGATCGACCAATCCTTTTTGCGCTTATAAGCATGATAAGTATCGGCTGATCCTTAGGAAATATGGCAAATACGAAGTAATGAATGTTCTGCATTTCTGGGAAGCTCTGTTGGAGACGTGCAATGCTTCGCGTTTTGGTCTTACGTCCGACAGTGTCTTCATGATTCGGCTTATCTACAAGAAATCAGGGTTTGTTACGTTGTTATACTTTTAGAAGTTGGTTGTTGGATTATGATATCATGTTGTTAAAATGGAATAAAAATGCCATATGTGCATGCTCAGCTGTGCGAAATTCATGAATAATATGATTGAAAGAGTTCATTATTTTCGTGAAGCAGTACCGGAATCGACAATTTTTCTCACGGGTCAGTATAGATAAATGACTAGGAAAGGCAAGATTATTGGGTTAAGCTTAAATTAGTTTCTTGAACCGAGGTAATTTTTGAATATATCCACAAAAACTTCTGTCGGTGAGCACCATTTATCATAAATCTGTTTCTTGTATTTTTCTTTCCTGAAAACTAAAGGTTCAGGTTATTTGCTGTCATGTACAACGTACTAAGTCTAAGTAGCTATCATGTTTCCAATTTTGGACCGAACTAGGGATTCTGGAGAGATATTGTGGGCTACATACTTTATCTGACATTAACATAAGGAATAAAAAAAAAATGAAAAGGCTAGAGAGGCAATAGATGTCTCTAAAAGGGGATTATCCAAGGACTGCGAAACAGCTTGAATATGTTGATTAACAATAAAGTGCTCCATATTGTTAATAAAGTGTTTAGTTTGGTGTGTTGTTTGTTGTATGCATATGTGTGTGTATCTGAGGAAGTCAAGAAGCAATTAGCGTTCATTATTATGTTAACAGCAGAACGTTATGTAAATATCAGCAATTTTCTTATGGAAAAACAATTTGGTGGTTTATTTTGAG